TACCAAGAGTTGAAGAACAAGTAGGTGGAGGTTGAGGTGGTAAACCGTTTTTGTCTTCAAATCTGTAACCTTCATGAACTAGGGATAGGGCATGATTGGTAGTAGTAGTAGAGTTAGAGGGTTCTACTAAAATATTTCCATTCTTATCATAAACAGTATTATTTATTGAAAAACAAAAAATATCTTTTTTATTTAATATGTTACAATCTGAATGTTTATCATTTTGCTTTTCTTTTTCCGAATATGGATACTGTAAGAAGAATAGAATATCATCAATTTTATTTGATGATGACTTATCATCATCATCATACCATTGTAGTTTTCTATTTGTATACGTATTATTAAATAATAATTTCTTTTGCCCGTCTATAAATTTATTACATAAAATAATAGGAATTAGAAAAATAATAAAAATACATATATAATATAGAATCATAATTATTATATCTTTTTTATTATCATTTAAAAAATGAAACATAGGTTATCCTCATGTCGTCTCGTGTTAATGAAAATAAATTAGATAATGATGATGAACCTTCTTCGTCGTCCTTTGTTAACAAATTGACAATTAAAAATACAATAGATAATGGCAATCCAAAGACTAAAAACAGTGATCTGACTAATTTATTTAATTTTACCGAGTTTTATAAAAATAATAATGAACATTTCCCTGGAATATTATGTTTCCCAACGTTTTTTATGTATGTTGTAATAGTTATTATCAATACATATGTTAATTTTATATGTATTGATAAACAGAATAATGATATCCATAGAGCTACTATGACTTTAATTTCTGGATTTTTCAATGGATTAGAAAGTATAGTAAATATGATAATCTATAAAACTTCACTGACAACCACCAATTATGAATTAAAATATATTAAATTAATTAAACCTTTGAAAATTCATAATATATTGTTAAAAGAAAGTTATAATATTTGTCAAAATTTAAAATTAAATAATGGAATGATTAACAACTATAAAGTCCATCATAGCATATTTGCATTGGAAACGTATATGATACATAAATTAGATATTAGAATTTATAGAAAGACTCTACATTATTCTAATTTAAAAATAAATAAAGTTAATAATACATCAGATTTAATAAATGTTTTAATAGCTAAAGGGGTTCTAAACCCTTCCTATCGCGATGATTTTGTTTTTATGTCGTCGTCAAAAGAAAAATTTCTTCCTAATTCTTTACAATATACAAAGTTTTCAATGAAATTAGAAAATTTACCTCCCGAACGAAGAGGGACACGTGAATGGGGTCCATTTTATTGGCGAATTTTTCACTCTATTGGCGATTCTAAAGTTCCTTTAAATATTAGAATTAAAGGAAAGAAAAATACACGGTGGTTACCCCAAAAAATGAAATCAATTCAAAATAGTTTTCTAAGTATTTTACCGATACTTTTACCATGTAAATTCTGTCAAATACACTATTTAACAAATATTAAACCTCATACATATCCAGAAACTTTAGATAATGTTAAATTAATTTATAATAATATTCATTCTAAAGTAACAAATGGTATCAATTAGAACACAACAAACATACACCAACACATACACACATACCAACACACACAAACATATACACCAACACACACACAGATACAACACACATACATATACACCAACAATAACCAAATGTATTACCACTTCCCAAATTTTATTTTCATTTTTATTTTCGCATTTTATACACACACATACATACACACCAACACATACACACATACACATACACCAACACACCAACACATACACCAACACCAACATACACACCAACACACACACCTACACATACACCAACACACCAACACATACACCAACATACACACCAACACACACATACACCAACACACACACACCAACACACACACACACACACACACACACACACACACACACACACACACACACACACACACACACACACACACACACACACACACACACACACACACACACACACACACACACACACACACACACACACACACACACTAACTACTTGGTTTTTTCATTGGATGGATTTCTATTTTAACTTTGGTTATATGCTCTCTAGGGAAAAAATATGTGAACTTTTCATGCTTTGGCAAGATGTAAGGGGAGTGTCCAATAAACGTTGTTTTTGGGGGAAATTGACAGCCCAATACAACTAAATTGACTTGACTTTTTTTCCAGTTACTCTTCATATCGTATTTATGGGAATAAAGTACGAGAAAAAAAGGAAGGAAGAAGGATAAAAAAAAAAACTTATTGGTGTAAACACAGTACCAAAAACAAATACGGCATTTTTTTAAATGAACAACAGCTGAGTGGAGAAAAAAACAAACAAATCACAAAATAAGGTTGGTAATTAGTTATAAGTCACTTCCATTTGAAGACATTGTTTCATTTAATATATTATTAGTTATAATTAAATTAATTTCTATTATTGCTTTATTTAATTCATCTAACTTATTTTGTAGCCATTTTTCATAATCGGAAATAGTTTGAAGTTTTTCTCTTTGTTGTGAAGCTAACAGTTCTTTATTAACATCATTATGATGTTGAAGATTACTTAATTCACTAATATATAAATTAATGTTATTTTTATAATATTCATGTAATGATGTTATAACATTTTCAGTATCGTTTCTGTTTGAAATAATTAAATTTTCATATTCATATTTTAAATACTTTTTTTCTAATTCAAATTGTCTAGAAAAATTTTTAGATTTATGTTTGTAATTGTTTATAGATGTGCATAATTTATGAATAATTTGTAACATACAAATCCATAAATCATTCATATCATACAGATTAGAATTTCTTATATATAATATTATTTTTTCAATACATTCCACTGCTAATTCATAATTAGTATTAGTTTCCTCCTCTTCATTAATTCCTTTAATAAAATTTAACAATTTATATAATAGAGGATATAAATTTTCTTTCCAGTTAAAATTTGTTAACTTTTTTATAAATTCAGTAAATACATTAAACTCTTTAATATCATTAATAGATTCTACATTAATATCTTTATTTATTTTATTATTATTATCTACACACTCTAATAATGAATGTAAATTCTTTTGTAGTAATGTATTTATTTGTAAATTCTTATTTGTTAAAACCTTATTGGTTTTTAAAATATTAAATATAACTAATTCTAATTGAGCATAATTATTTAAAGCAGCTTCAAAATTTTTATTTTTTAAATTTCCATTGATATTAAATAAGAAGTTTGTCATTTTTATATATAAAATTTGACTAGTGATAAGTTTGAGTATATTTTTATTATTTTATATTTATAATAATATCATTTATTGTTTAAAGTTTTAACGGGTAAAAATGTATGACCAAACAGAGAAGGGGGAATATAATTTATTATTTGATTTATAAATTCTTTATTCGAATGCCTCATATGTTCTGTAGGTGATATTCCTTTTTGAATTAATAATTTTAAATGAATCATAGCATGAATTATTATAATACTAAGATTAAGTTGATATATACTAACTTTATGATATAAATTAGTAAAATTAGTAGTTATTGTGGTAGTGGTATCTTCATCAGTATTATATAGTATGCGATTCGATCCTAATATATTATACCTTTTATCTAATAAATTATTATTATCATCTAAAGTAATACTATAAGTGTCTAATCCACTAATAATAGATTTTTGATTGTCTAATGATGAAAATGTTTCAGATATAACAATATTATTGGGTGTTAGTTCTGTTGAAAAGTATAATATGTATATATTATTATTATATATAAATACATTGATAAATTCTAAATCATTTTCATGTAACCGTTCCCCGTTACTTTTCCTATCACCCTCTAAGGCTAATTTTATTAATTTAGAATTTATTTGAGATTTAGATATAGGGTTATCTATATCTATAAAAATAAACTGTTGTTTCTTATGAATTTCTTTAAAGAAATTATTAAAAATGAATTTATCGATATCCCAAAATAATTGATCAACTAATATCTCATTGTGTGAAGCTAGATAATTCATATAACTAATAAAATTTTCATAAACAACATTCATTGTAAATTTGGAACTTTCCTCTGTATAGATCACAGCCGCAATAGGTGTGACAGTAAAAATATTATCCTTTCCCAAACATTGTTCAAGTCGTTTCACTCTAAATTCTAAAGATTGCAATATTGTTAATTGATTTAAATCGAAATCTTCGATATAATTTGTATTTAACTCTCTTTCATCAAATGGAGTATCACGATCAAAAGTGTATGTTTCCCGCTCACGAAGGAGACCTCCTGCAGTTGAAATTACATCATTTGACGATGACAACAACGACGTATTTCCTTCTCCATCCGCCTTAAATCTTTTAATTGTTTGTTTATTTGTTTTAAAATTATTAATAATTGAAGAACTTTTTTCTTTTTCATTATCTTTTTCTTCATCGTAAAATGAAACCTTTTTTTTTTATTTAGTTGTGTTGTCATTTTTAGTAGTAGTATTTTTTAATATTAAACAATAAACTTATTTAAACTTCTCAATAAACACATATAATTTACTGCACAATTCTCAATAAATACATATAATCTTCTGTATGATTCTTAATAACCATATAATCTACTTTATGATTATCAATATACACATATAATATACTGTATAATTCTCAATATACACATATAATGTACTGTATTATTCTCAATATATATATAATCTACTGTATGAAACTCAATATACATATATAATATAATTATAATTATTAATATACATATAATCTACTATACGAGTGTCACTTTATACATATATTTTACACATAGTAGAATATATTTATGTTAAGGAATCATACAATAGATTATATTTTTATATTGAGAATTTGTATAGTAGATTATATCTGTTTATTGATATCCATATAGCTATAAATTTTGTTTATGTATATAAATAATGTCTTATCCTTTTATTATTTTAAACTCCTTTTTTATTTATAGATAAATGGAGTAAAAGAAGTATCATCAACATCAAACATGGAATCTATGGAATCATCTTTTATTTTCTTAAATATTGTGTCATTTTTGACATACGCATCAATATATAATCGCAAACAGTCCTTTCTTTTACTTGATAATAGACATAAGTGTTCCCGTAAAGGCTATATAGATAAATTATCTGAACAAGGATTCTACTTTGATTGGATGCGCAAAGGAACTAAAAGTGGTAGATTTAATTTTGTATGTTTCCATTGTCATAGACGATGGAAATGTACGGTTGAGAATAAAGTAGATTTATGGTCTATGGGTGTCTTTGAGGAAATTAATGAGCATCAATGTGACACAAAAATATCAATAGATTATGAAAATACTCATTTAATAATTGCAATAATCATGTCTTTTTGCAAATATGATGAACATTACTTCAAACGATTTTTTGAAGAACGACCAACAATGAACATACAACAAAATCGTATTGATTCCTTTATAAGTCATTCTTGTTTCTTTAAGAAAGATGAGTATTCTAGAAATAACCCCAGCTTTTACTTGTATAATACTTGTATGTATTCCCCTCCTACATTTAGATGTACATGTTGTTTCTTTAATATACAATTACCATATTTAATATTACATGGTGGCCCCGGCCATATTACAAAACTTCATAATAAATATTTAAAAGAGATACAAGAGAATGAAATAAAACTCCCGGCAGATTTTTCATTGTCGTATTATGGTAATAAAATATTTGAAAATAATTACACAGATAATAACACACTTAGAAATACAAAGAATTGGATTCATGTAATACGGCAAATCTACAATTATGCTAATATACGTTTAAGTAAAAATTCCTTTTTAAATGATATAAGCAATCTTTCTCATTTAATAAATGAGGGTCGACGACAACAAATATTGTTGATGAAGGAGAAGGATCGACGACAACAAATGTCGGAGGAGGAGGAGGAGGAGGAGGAGGAGGAGGAGGAGGAAGAAACTGAAACGGAAAGAGCAGTAAATTTTCTTGTAGAATCTCAAATTGTACCCAAAATATCCCCAATAATTATTCAGCGGAAACATTATAGTAAACAAATTCGGATGTCCAATTCCCCAGTATCAGAAGAGAAAACTCCTCCTCTTCTTATTCTTCATTCTTCTCTTCCTCATTCTCCTCTTCCTCCTTCTCCTTTTCCTCCTTCTTCTCCTCATCTTCTTCCTCATCAGTCTCCTCTTATTCCTCATTCTCCTCTTTCTCCTCCTCCTCCTTCTCCTCCTCCTCCTCCTCCTTCTTCTTCTTCTTCTTCTTCTTCTTCTTCTTCTTCTTCTTCTTCTTCTTCCCCAAACCTTTCTCAACAACAAGTTCTTACTGATACTACTATTTTGGATATTACATCCTTTCCTTCTACCTCTACCACTAAATCACCAACTAACAAAAGAAAAATTAAACAAGTAACACCCCCCCCCAAAAAAAAAAAAAAACATAACTTAGAAAATAAAGTAAATGATAACTTACAAAATAAAGTAAATGATAACTTACAAAATAAAGTAAATGATAACTTACAAAATAAAGTAAATGAACTAGAAGTAGTAGTAAAAGAAATGTTTAGACTACCACAAATTCAACAGCAAATGCCACAACACTTTTCTTCTCAAATTTCTTTCTTATTGGCCTCGCTTCCACAATCACCATTGGCCTCGGCTTCGAAACCATTGACGGTTGTCCAACAGCCGGCGACGGCTATTGGACAACCGTCGACGGCTATTGAACAATCGACAGCATCGACATCAGCAACATTTACACCACCACCACTACCACCACCACCGTCGACGGTTGTCCACCAACAGCCGGCGACGGCTATTGGTGGACAATCGGCGCCGGTTGTTAAACCGACGTCGATGTCATCGACTTCAGCAGTATTTACACCACCACAAATGCCGCCGCCACAATTTTCTTCAGTTCTTCCACAACCCCTATTGGCCTCGGCCTCGAAACCGTCGACGGTTGTCCACCAACAGCCGACGACGGCTATTGGTGGACAATCGGCACCGGTTGTTAAACCGACGTCGATGTCATCAATGCCATCGACATCAGCAGCATTTACACCACCAAAATCATCACAAATTCAACAACAACAAATTCTTCCACCACCACAATTTTCTTCTCAATTTTCTTTTCTATCAGCCTCGAAACCGTCGACGGTTGTCCACCAACAGCCGGCGACGGCTATTGGTGGACAATCGGCGCCGGTTGTTAAACCGACGTCGATGTCATCGACTTCAGCAGTATTTACACCACCACAAATGCCGCCGCCACAATTTTCTTCAGTTCTTCCACAACCCCTATTGGCCTCAGCCTCGAAACCGTCGACGGTTGTCCACCAACAGCCGGCGACGGCTATTGGTGGACAATCGGCACCGGTTGTTAAACCGACGTCGATGTCATCAATGCCATCGACATCAGCAGCATTTACACCACCAAAATCATCACAAATTCAACAACAACAAATTCTTCCACCGCCGCCACAATTTTCTTCAGTTCTTCCACAACCCCTATTGGCATCGGCCTCGAAACCGTCGACGGTTGTCCACCAACAGCCGGCGACGGCTATTGGTGGACAATCGGCACCGGTTGTTAAACCGACGTCGATGTCATTAATGCCATCGACATCAGCAGCATTTACACCACCAAAATCATCACAAATTCAACAACAACAAATTCTTCCACCACCACAATTTTCTTCTCAAATTTCTTTTCTATCAGCCTCGAAACCGTCGACGGTTGTCCACCAACAGCCGGCGACGGCTATTGGTGGACAATCGGCGCCGGTTGTTAAACCGACGTCGATGTCATCGACTTCAGCAGTATTTACACCACCACAAATGCCGCCGCCACAATTTTCTTCAGTTCTTCCACAACCCCTATTGGCCTCGGCCTCGAAACCGTCGACGGTTGTTCACCAACAGCCGGCGACGGCTATTGGTGGACAATCGGCGCCGGTTGTTAAACCGACGTCGATGTCATCAATTCCATGGACATCATCAGCATTTACACCACCAACATCATCACAAATTCAACAACAACAAATTCTTCCACCACCACAATTTTCTTCTCAATTTTCTTTTCTATCAGCCTCGAAACCGTCGACGGTTGTCCACCAACAGCCGGCGACGGCTATTGGTGGACAATCGGCGCCGGTTGTTAAACCGACGTCGATGTCATCAATGCCATCGACATCAGCAGCATTTACACCACCAACATCATCACAAATTCAACAACAACAAATTCTTCCACCACCACAATTTTCTTCTCAATTTTCTTCTCTATCGGCCTCAGTTCTTCCACAACCACCATTGGCCTCAGCCTCGAAAGTTGTTCTTTCACAACCGCCGATACCATCGACATCAGCATTTACACCACAACAAATTCAACAACAATTGCCGTCGCAATTTTCTTCTCTACTGTCATTACAACAACAAAAACATTCTTTACAATTATGGCATCAACAACAACAACAAATGATCGAACAACAAATACAATTATACAACACCTCTAACGCATGGGAGGCTGAGTTATTCCTTAAATGTTTAGAGGAAGAAAATGGTGGTGGTGGTGGTGGAGGAACAGTGGGAAATGATGTTGGTAGTGGTGGTGGTGATGGTGGTGGTGGAGATGGAGCAGTGGGAAATGGTGGTGGAGGTGAAGGTGGTGGAGATGGAGCAGTGGGAAATGGAGGAGGAGAAAGAGGAGGAGGAGGAGGAGGAGGAGGAGGAGGAGGAGGAGGAAGAAAAAGAGGAGGAGGAGGAGTTATTTATTCTCCTATAACTCCAATAAGTATGGAAATCTAAGTTGTAAAAATGTATATATAATATTTTTGTATTTAAATTACCCTATTTTACAGATATATAATATCATTATCATTTACAACACAATGTATCATGTATTTATATATATTTGATGATAATATTTCTGGAAAATTCTCCTTAAATAGTATTCTTAAAATATCATTAATACATATATTAGTATTAGGGTATCTATCTATAAAGTTGGCTATACTGATAGCTTCATTATTATTTTTGTCATTATTTTTAATCTCATTTGTCTCATATGGTACAAAGTATGCAGCTGGTTTTGTACATTGAAGATATGTTGATGACATTTTTATATTATTTTTATATTTTATTATTAAATAAAAATAAAAGTTGTTGTAACTTCTTTGACTTTCAATTAAATTCCCTGTAATTTTTTCTTTACAATTATAAAAAATAAGTTCAAATAATGGAAGGAATACAAAACTCTACTACTATTAATCCTCTCAGTAGTGGTGGTGGTGGTGATGGTGGTGGTGATGGTGGTGGTAGTGGTGGTGGTGGTGGTTCTGGTTCTACAAATATAGTAAATTCAACTACCTCTACTACTCTTAATAGTAGTATTAAACCACCCATTTCCACTACTCCAATAATACCTCAACCTCAACAAGTGCAACCAATAGATACAAAGACACAAAATATGTTAAATACACTTATGAGTGAGATTTCAAATGCAAGCATTAAGGACCCTAATCAGGCTTTATTAATTAATAAATGGTTAGCGGCATATATAAATAAAATTACTCAAAATCCATGTTCGTTTATTCATCCAACATTTAATACTATTGAATTGGAGAATCCACACTTAAAACGTATATATCAAATCCATAAAAGTGTGTATGAACATAGTAATAAAAATGATAGCTCATTCTCTGCAATATGTAGCAGCTGTAGATATATAAAGTTGGGTCTGTTACTTGCCAATCTTAAACGAAAAATTAAAAACTATACATGTATGCCAACTAATAATAATGAAGAAAATAACAATGAAATTGAATATGATTTAGGTTTATTCTTTAATGCTGTTAATAGTTACGACTTAAATACACAAACTATTCCAAATATGATAAATGCAACTCCTGTTGCCTGTCAAGCAGGTTGTGTTATATTTCCCGATCCAAAAATATTTTTACAAATTATAGGAATGCCTCCAGAAAGTATTATTGGTGGTGTTAAGGTGATACAGCTAATGACTGATGAGGAAATAATTACTGACGATTATGACGAGACATTAAAACGATATAATGAAGTTATGAAAAACCTACCCGATATGCTTAATGTTGGTTATTATACCAATAATTCAACAAAACCTCAAGATAAGAATAAACTAGTAGAGACCCCATGTCAATATAAATTGATAGAACAATCTACTAATAAAAATAAACAACAAACTAATGATGTATATATGAAAATTTTTGATATTAATCCACATATATTCCTTTATTACCATCAGCTTGCTATATCAGAATTGGATGTTAATATAAATTATAATATTTATAAAGTTAAGAGCAATAATAACAACGAAGACGTTGGTAGTTTAATTGGGAAAAGTGGTGGAGGGGATTATTTGAAACAGAAAACGAGTAAATCATCTACTAATTTTTCAGCGCATAAAATACATGACCTTTTAGCACTCAGTTTTCATTTTTGTAAAGATATTAATGATTTAAAAGATGTTGCTCCATTAAACGGACAATGTATAGTTGCACCACACAATATCTTATTTATAAATGAAAAAGGTGATGCAATCTTTAGATTCAACGAATATATAAAAGGTAGTAAAATACCTCCTTGTGACACTCTTAAACGTACCCTAGAACAACAATCTCAATCTTCAAAGAAACGCCGTGGTGGTGTAGTAGCTACAACAACAATTATAACGGATAATTTGCAACGCACACCACCAGACCCCATTAAACCAGATAATACAAATGATCTTCTTAAAATCTCGGCAGGAAAACTACCATATATTACTGAAGACCAATATAAAGACCTTATTAAGAAGCATACGGATTCCTCTCGACAATACAGGGAACATTTAGGTACACACAAAAAAGAAATGTACAATTATTTTGAAATTTTTAATGATGATGCTGGTAATTTAATAGATTCTAAAGTTCATAGTATAGGCTTTTACGAATTTGCCTCACATCTTTATCCTGAAATAGTCAAAACTTCAGTCAAAGGATTCAAGCGTAAAAATATCGATATTTTTACCACTAATATAAATAGTTCTGATGTTTATACAGTGGACAATCAAACTCCTAATGTAATGTATGCGAATAATATAGGATTTGTTACATTACGGTCAATATGTCGTGATGAAATGCTCGTTCTTAAAAATACAGAAGTTTTGTTTATAAATATGAGAAATAGATCTACTCCTGGTTATAAATTTATTTCTATAAAAGATTTATCGAGTGGAGGTAATATAACTCATTATTCTCAAATGCATGATATTATTCTTAATACAAATGAAAATATACTGAAAAAAATTATTGGAAATAAAAACGATAAAGACTTAGTTATATCTACGGGTATAGAAACTATTCCCAATCCTAGCCAAGTTTCCTGTAATATTACAGATTTTAAAAATTATACAAAACACGTTACAGAAGATTGTACAAAGCTTTGGTAAGAAAAAAAAATAATAATATATATTAAAAAAGTAGGTACTGTATTACTAAAATAATAAATAGTAGGTAGTCGGTAGTGGAAGAAATAGTATGTCTGTATTTTCGTTTAATGCCTATTATAGAGGAGAATTTATTATTCCCTTTTTGTGTTTTAGCAAAAAAATGCTTATATACCCACCTGCTCTTAATAGGAGAATTCTAGTGTATATACATCAAAATGAAACTGAACATATTTTAACTACACATCAAAAAGGGAATTTTGAAAAAAAAGAGGAAATGATTAATTTTACTATAAAGCTTCTGGAGAAATTTAAAAGAAAATATACTGTAAACTATGAAGCAGAAACAATTTTAGACAAAACAAATACTATAGATATTTTAAATACCTCCTTATCAATATATCTCGTTTATATTCAAAAACCATATTCATTTTTCAGATATCCCTCATATCAAACCAGTATCGAAGATAGAGTAAATTGTATTAATTATAATACAAAAAAAATTAATAATACAGTTGAAACGTGGTTGAACAAACTCTGATTTTATTATTTTGAAATTTTACCCCGAAAGGGCCGAGTTTAGTACCCCCCCCCCCATCTGGGATAATTTCTTTGCGAAAAGTTCCGGTGTAATAATAATGTCAAGTTGGCAGGCCTGTTACTAAGGAGTATTACAATGCCATTCATTCTTCTTATGATTTATTTCATATTTATTTTCGAGACATTTATTCAGGTAATATAATTGTGTAAAAGATAAATTATCAGTTTTAAGTTTCATGAAGGAAGGTAAATTAAGTTGTAAACCTTTATTGTAATAGTATAACAGAGCATTGTGAATAGTATTTTCTTGCGAATCTTTTGGAATATAGTTTAAATATATTGCTTCGTGAAAAGATTTTATTTCACCTTTATAAATAGGGATATATTGATAAATATTATTGTTACTTATACTTAAAAATGATATTTTTACATTAATTATTCCAGAATCAGATTCAAATTTTATAAAATCGCCTTCAATCTCCAAAACTTTATAAAGTTGTTTTTTTTTCATTAACGAATTAATTTCATTTACAACTTTATTAATTTTATATTCTTGATCCATTGTATTTTCCATTTTTTTGGTATAAAAATAATTTTTAAATAATGTTTCATAC